GACAACGCCATGGCTAAAAGAAAAAGACAAACAAACAACAGTACATAAAACAGTTACGACAATTGGAACCTATCCGTTATCATCTGTGAAACGGTTATTCATAACGGCCAACCAACTCGTGACGGCCTTCGTAAAAGGAGATGTAGGGTGTGTCATACGACAGCAACCAAAAGACACAAATAAGAATTTAATGAGACATCTAGAGGGCGACATACAGACTATAAAAGTACAAGGTTGACTATTTCTTTTTCTTCGAGAAATGTCAGAATAGCAAGTCATATTTCAAGTTCTCTAGTACCACGTGGTACATGAATTCACTGCGGCTGTTTTTCTGGCTTTGTCAGTGTAATCGGTTTATAGTGATCACGAATAGTGGTAAAATTATCCGTTTTCTTTTATCATACGGATTGAATTTATAAAAAATGTTCCTTACTTGGAACTTAAACCTATTATCGAAAGAATCTTATTTTCTTTCCTGTGATGTTAACGAGTCTCTGAGACACCAGATTTTATATAAAAAATTAATTTTGACATGTAGATAAATATTAAAAGACACGCTATGTCTACTTCATGTGTCAAGATGGTTATTCATTAAAAAATTCGTGGAAATCAGAAACAACATTCATGATTAAGATATTTGACAATGTTCTTACTATATTCAATAAGCGTTATCAATTTAAGGGCATACGATTACAGTTTCGATCCCACGGTAAATGTTTTACGAAAATTTGCATACAAGCTATTTTTCACCTTTTCATTTCAAATATGTAATAAAAAATATACCTTCATGTGCTAAATTTAGAGATAAATGGGGTCGAAATTTCAGACATTTACTTAAAATTTCGGTTTCTTGAACATTTCTATCCGTTAGACAGACACAACTTTTTTGTTTCAAAAGATAAACACATACGGATTTTTGTAAAATGATTTGGAATATCTTCTTTACAAAATTATGCTCTTTATTTGTGCAACAATTCTTTGGAAATAATTCATTTTTATCAAATTTTCATGATTTTAGAAAAAAACGGCATTTTTTGCTGTTTATTTATCTAATTTAAAAAAAAATCATCGGTGATTTCTTCATAAAAATTGGAACAAACTTTTCCCGTTATGTCGCAGTTTGACGTCGCTAAAAATTTACGTTAGCAACGTCATTACCTCCCCTGTAACTGTATCGTATGCCCTTAAATTTAGCTCGATGAAGCAACATGGATGCTGGCAAACATATGTATATACCAACTAAAAGATGTGGAAAGCCAATTCTACATAAAATATGAGAAAAGTGTCGATTTTTCATATATTTGGCAACAAAAAACAGTGACCGAGAAGATCTAGAAAATAATGTACAGACAAAATATGTAAGGAGTGCAGAGCAGAACAGATATATTTCAAAGAAAGAATGAGTCATACGTCATCATCAAAAACACTAAGAAGCGAACAATGAACCTGTAAAATGTGTAGGAATTCCAGATCAAGGTGACAAGAACATATCGTAAAATATGATTAAATGTGGTTGAGCAAAGTATTATGCGTAAGATTGACAAGGGAAAAAACGAACGATTTGTTCTTAAGGTAAACAATGTACGCTCAAACAAGTGGCCAATTAATCAAGAATATTATTATTAAGCGTAGACGGAATGCAGCAAGGTTGGTAAGGCTATTCCAAAGGTATGTTTTGGTACATTCTGAATCTTGTTTTTGTAAATCATAAATAATTACGTAAAAGTTTGATGAAATGCGAGAGTAATTAAATCATATTCCTTTGGAAGGTGGGCTGCAGTAAAACAAATTTGTACGTAATTCAATGACGAAAAAGATAACATCCAGACTGCTTCTGTGTTGTCTGCCAATAATAAATATTTATTTGTATTATTGAATAAACCATATACAATGATAACGTGTTTAGAGCCGACATCAAACTACTGACTTGAACCGTACATCCCTAATAATTGGCTATCATAAAAGGTTTATACTCTCGAGGTCACTTAATTGAATGTGAAATGACTATTTAACGATGAGATATGGTATGGTTTAGTATAGATGGAAATTGTTAACCATTCATTACAGTCAACTGTAATTCGATAGTTTTACAGCAGGGAAGGGTAAATCAATTCATATAAATACAACAACATCCAGGTGAATGACATTTTCAAATTACAGTGAATGACATTGCTAGATTACAGCAATTTACCAGAAGGACACTTAAAATAGCGATGTCAGCATTCATAATTGTCTTTTGCGTCTAATTAACATAACGTTGATTATATTAATTTGTGATTTATTCCCTATGTTAAATTTCTGAAAGATCAGTTAAACATCAAAAGATGAAATTTCTATCTTCAAATTATACTCTTTGAACAGAATGAAAATTAAAAAGGCAAAAGAAATTAGGAGATACCATGGGACATTTAAAAATCATAAACAGAAAACAGGACAGATAACCCAGTACCTAAAAGAGGGGGAAAACAAATACAAACACATTTTCATAACATATTGCACATAAGATTGATCAAGAAGAATCTAACTAAAACTCTTGTGTAACAGATGGGTAAAAATCAACTATTGAAAGATGTGTCTCTATCCCTCAAAGTCATCTATTAAGTTTGAAAGACTATTTTCATGGGAAAAATGGTTATTCAAGTTAATTTTCAAGATAATTTACTGATTTCCGAAGCAACGAACAATCCACAGGATAAAATAACAAGTACCCAACAAAAGTACACAGCAAATAAGAGAGAGAGAGAGAGAGAGAGATGGGGCGGGGGTTTATAATAAAATATCATGTATGCATTTACAGAACAACAATTAATACATGTGGCTAGTATTCTCTGTGCTTGTCAACGATACAGAAGTATTCTGAAGGGACCTTAGTAATATCTTTCACTTAGATGTAATCAAGTAATATCAATCACTGCCACCAATGGGAATAACCAATTCAAAAGAATAATGAGCTGCTGTCTGTCACTTCACCTTGCAATAATTATTTCTACCTGATATTTCCACAAAACTTCGAAAACTTACATAGAATATAAATTACCTTATTACCAGCTTATTTTTTCGTGGAAGAATGTTGATTCTAATCTTTATGTAACAATATTTTTTCATTGACTAGCATAAACCGTCAAATCCACACTATTTTAGCCGCCATATTGAATTGCTAGAATCCACAAATAAATACAATAAAATCGATAAAAAAACAACACCTACCTCGAAAACGCCGCTTTTATAAGATGTATTCGAAATTTGAATCGTACAAGTAATTGAATAACCTTTAATTTGAAAGTTTTCATTTTAATGACGTCATATTTTGCAAGACGTTGATGCTCCATAATCATACGTGAAGTTTCGCGGAATTTTATTTCACCTTAAATTTAGTCATTTTTACAAGCTTTAATGTATTATTTTTTTTTGTAATGCGTCAGATATTTCGTCTTAATGTCATATATCATGGTTAAGGAATACATTGTAACAGTATCGTCATTGTAGAGATGTCGCCGTCAGTATTGGATTTGACGGTCGCAAACATGCGTTTTACTAGCTCCGCTACGCAAATTGACGGCGGCAACTCTTCAACTCTTTAACTATACATATAGTACTAATATTTCTTGACTATGATAGAAATGCTTAAAGGCAACATACAACGAAGTTCAGAATCGTTTTCATGCTCTAAAATTTTCTAGAGTGGGTGGCGCATATTCGCCATGGACACATTTTCGCCGTTTTTGCTATTTTTTCTGTAAATTTCGTGTGCCTTTACCCAATACTTGCCTAAAAAGATGCTAAACGCTGTTTGTAATGTTCGAACTGTTGATATTCCTCTTTACCCCATTTCCAATGTTATTCGCACATATAAAGAAATACGCTGGTGTTTTTGAACGATTTTGGCAATTATGTAAGATTTATATGGCACGCATGCGCAGTCATAAAGTAAATATCTGTTAGAAAAATCGTATAGGAATGATCTCTCAAGCTAATTCATGTAATTGCAAACAATTGTTTTTATAATATACAAGGATAATGAGGATGGTCATATCATACATTGCGGCGAAAATGTGTCCCCCATGGTACAAGAACAACTTGATTTCCTCTTGAGTTTGCGTTCATTTTTAAAACATTTAACCAATGTTTTGAAGAGAATTCCTTTATCAAACATTTTTTTCATATAGTAAACTTTCTGAAACCTACATAAAAAGTTTCAAATATTCGAATGTAGGTCGGATGTAGGTGGAAATGAACGAATTTTGTGGCGAATATGCGCCACCCACTCTATTACCAAGCTTTTTGTCTCGGCGTATACGTGTTAGGGTTGATCCATACAAAAACGTGTCGTCTGTACGGAATTCTGTACTGTTATTATGCCTTTCTTAAATACATAAACTTTAAACAATTCATTCGGTTGAGGGGTACAACTCCCCAGAGAGGGCATCTGTTTGATTGTGCGGGATGTATAAATACGCAGCCGTCTGATTGGTATGGGAATATTAAATCCGATGCCTCATTTAGGGAAAGGACAGTTCTCTATGTGCGTTAAAAAAAACCTTGCAACAACTGTTTGAGGGGTCCATAGTTGACCTGTTGTAAGGAAATTCGTTTGCTTCTATTTAACATGCCCTCATTTTTTAGTTGCAGTCCAAGTTTCTCGTCCATCTTCTTGCAACGGATTTGCTTATTAAATATTTGTAATTAATTTGTTCTCATCCAAAATATGTAAGATATAATGGGCACTAGACGTTAAACAAATAACAATCAATCTGATAAATGTGAGGTCGGGAAAAGAATTAAGAACCATCATATAGTAGCTGTTACTTAGCTTACTGAACGGATACGCCATTGCATTGTGGGAATTTCTTTGAAAGTATACAGGGAAGGTTCTTTAAAACTTGACTAAAGAAAAGAGAGATCGTTATAATATGGTATTACTAACTAAGTGACATTTCTTTTATAGTATAGTATTTCCAATTGTCATAAAAAATGATAAATTTTAGTACGGACGTACTGACCTGGCGGAAGGGAAGGTCCATTATAGTATGGTAAAGTCTTGTATTCTTTCATCCTCGCTGTCTCTCATAAACCATCGTCTGCAAAACAAAACAATAATTCTGACAAATAACATTAGCGAATACATAAATATGATTTTGTCTGAACCAACAGAAAACAGAATAATTGCAATTGGTAATTTTGTTTACTCTTTTCAAACAGAAAGATAAATAAGTAATCCATCAGGAATTATACAGAAATTATTTGGAAGTTTTAAAGTGTTGTAACTTCAAACATCTTATACTTAATTTCAAAAGGTTAATATTTATAATTAATACATTTCAAATGAGTTTTTGTCTGTCGGGAATATAATATATTTGTTTTTGTTTCTTTTTTTGTGGGTGGGTAAGGATGTGGGGTAATTGTAAGTTTTTCAACTTCTATTATCATCATGTTTTGTAATTGGAATGCTCTAAAATATTCAAGGAAATAGTATACATGTACAACAGTATGGAAAATTTCTATTATTTATATCTAAACTTATTAAGGCGGTTTACACTAAATGCTTTTTTGGAAATAAAAAAAGAACTGTCAAAACTCTCACAAGTATTAGAATTTATTCACACGGTAATCGTCAAAAATATGTCCTTACAAAGATCAGGAGTTGTTGTATGATTGCCAATGAGACAACTATCCACTAGAGTCCAAATGACTTTAATATAAGCCACTATATATATATAGGTCATAATGCAGCCTTCAACAATAAACAAAACCCACACCGTATAGTCGGCTATAAAAGGCCAAGACATGATGACAAAATGTGAAACAATCTAAACGAGGAAACCAACGGCTTTATTTATGACAAAACAATAAACGAACATTAACTGTGGAAGACAAACGAACATTAACTGTGACAGACAAACGAACATTAACCGTGACAGACAAACGAACATGAACTGTGGCAGACAAACGAACATTAACTGTGGCAGACAAACGGACATTAACTGTGGCAGACAAACGAACATTAACTGTGGCAGACAACAGCCAACGACAACCTTGTTTTCTTTAAAAATCAAATTAAAATGATATTTCTCAAAAATGGGACAAATAATTATCATTGCCGGGATAATGCACAACAGCATTACAACCATAGTTCAAACAGAAATTAAAGCGAAAAAAAATTGGATACCTAAAACGTAATAATTTCTTCCGGCATATTATGTTTTAGGCTGCATAGTCAAACCCTATACAATGTATGTGTTTGATCCTCGGTATATTTACACATGTAAAACATGTTGTTTGCATTGTATTCTTGGCTGAGATTCTATGTTATATAACTCCAAATAAATAGGCAACGAACCAAGAAAGAAATGTTAAGTAAGCATGGTGATAGAGCAATACAGCATGGCAAAGATTGAAACTGGAACAGCTAAAATATGTTATACATCACTCTGCAAATACTATATAGAAATACAATGGTATATTGTCATTCAGAATGACAGTTACAACACAATAATCATTAACAAGACCTGAACTCAATATGCAATCATAGTTTGATGTTTTATGAAATAAAAAAGTAATTAATTAGTATATATATTATTAGTATATGGGAATATATGATTTATCGTATAACGGAGTTGGGTTTTTCCATATATTCAGTTGAATGGGAATAATTTTTAAAAATTTTCATAATCATCTTTTTGTATGCTCTATCAATTGTAAGCAATAGAAATGAAAGATTTACCATGAAGTAAATCAAATACCACAAATCGATGAAAGACAGACAACAACGTAACCAAAAGAAGAATGACAAGGCAAACAACGGTTTACAAACATAGAGATTTAACAACACGAACCCAACCAGTAAATGGCAGTGAACTAGGGTGCTCCAGGACGGTTAGCAAGCAAATATGAAAAAAAACGTATATTTGATTGCTACCAATTTTAGCGATCACGATGCGCGTTTCAACAGTCATCGCCTAGAAGTGAAGCGCATTTTACCGGATCATCCTGGCATGGCAACCATTTTTTCTATATCATTTTATTTTATTGATATAGATATATTCATATATCAATGAAATACATATATATATATATTATTAAATATCATTTAACGTCATTTGATGAATTTAGGAGTATCTACTAACAGGAATTGATACATTAACGGTATATGTACTTAGAATATAGAAACATTCAACAGTGCATTTTTCGTTTTTTTCGTTTAATTTCCAGATGACATATAAAACCAACTACCCTTTATTTCATATCCAATAATTATATTGCTGGTACAAATTATCGGTTCTCTCTAATGTATTTCATTAGTTGTTTAGTAAGTGCAATTTAGTTAGTAAGCAATATGTAGCAGTTATTTATTCAGTGCGATCTAGTTAGTGAGCATAACATAGCACGTTTTGCTATAATGTACGATTGATAATGATTTTTTTCTGCACTGGGTGAATCCATACGTACTTACGGTCATACTGTATTAATTGCCAACAAGAATTAACTAATTAGGGTTTCTCATATGGTATGCATAACTCTACGTAGAAGAATGTCCTTCACAGTAAATCCTTAATTCCTATACCAAAAATTCCATGTACGACATAACCGCTCTTCAAAATTTTAAGATTTATATAAATCTACACAGTAAAGTGTTACCTTACAACAATATATCATATGTTACAAGATACACATTTTTTATCATATAAGTTATGCTAGCATTTTTCAAAGCCTTCCATCGTCCTTTTATGAAAAACGAAATACATTATCCTTAAAAAAATCCTTATTTGTTAAATTAATAAAAGTGAGAAATTGGGGCATAATGATTGTCAATGAGACAACTCTCAACCAAAGATCAAACGACTAAAAAGTAAGCAATTTAAAAATGTCATCGTACGGCCTTTAACAATGCTCAAAATCCATACCACATAGCAAGCTATAAAAGCCCCTGACATGATATATTGAAACAATTCAAACAAGAAAACTAACGGCCTGATATTTGTACAAAACAATAAGCACAAAGCAAATCATGTAATATACAGCAGCAAACGACAACCACTGAATTGAAGGCTCAATCCTGACTTTAAAATACCAAACGACAACCACTGAATTACATGCAGACTCGATCCTGACTTTAAAATACCAAACGACAACCACTGAATTACAGGCTCGATCCTGACTTTAAAATACCAAACGACAACCACTGAATTACAGGCTCGATCCTGACTTTAAAATAAAAAAATTACACGTTCTCTTTCTTCACGGTTGGTGCAATGTAGATAAAAATAAGTGAATAATTCCTTCAATATTACATGTATGGTATTTTTTAATGTGAAATTATTGGTATACTATATTAATTTCAATTTTTGTATATTTTAGGTACTGCAGAAAGCAAAAACTGGTGAGAGTTATTTATGTGGATTTTGGTGTATATATTTATATGGATTTGTTTGCATGACACATTTCTACAATAATATTCTGTAACCCTAAAAGCTGCACTTCTCGTGGTACGCTCAAATTTCTCCGGATATGTGCAAAGCAGAAAACTTCATACTTAATATTAAAAAAATTGAAACCAAAACGAGTATTAACAGAACATATTCAACAGAAACCTTATTACAAACAGGTTGTCATATCCTAATTTTTACAGTGAAGTTGTTTATAAAGCCCGTAAATTTAGATACGATTCATGTAAACTTATTGATCCTTTGAATACATTTATTCTTAAAGGTTATCAACTTTTAAAACACTATAATAGTAAGACCTTTGAATATAAATGTCTTTATCGGTATTAACATTGATTTCAATTTAGAAATAAATTTTGAAAAGAATTACATATTTATTGCTAGATAGATATGGACACTTATGGGCCTACATCCTGTGTATACTTATACATTGGCTTTTCACAACATCATGCTCATAAATTGGCTTTTCACAAGATCATGCTTATAAATTGGCTTTTCACAAGATCAGACCGTTTATGACGTCTTTACACTAAATCCAATGAATGTATATGGCTGATATTTTAATCTTGGAAATCATGATTCATTCAGTAGTTGAAATTGCATGCTTTGAACTAGCTTCCAGTAACTGTGAGTTCTCTTATATTGCTATTTTATGGTTTGTTTTTGGCATTTTGTTACGGGTTTATTTTATTATAGGGGGGCTTCGTGCCGAACTGATGAGTCAAGTCCTTTCCAACTAAATCTTTCCATTTTTTCTTATTTTGTCCTGTTAGAACAATGTCTTAGTTTATGGGAGGGTTAACAGCTCACAAACATGCTTTCACCACCACCTTTTGTATGTGACTGTGTCAAGTCAGAAGCATGTAATTCAGTGGTTGTTGTTGGTTGATGCATGTCTATGATATTTTCACTAAGTGAATGATTGTATTAGTACCCATGCATATACCACATAATTTTATTCATTTATCATAAAAAAGAACAATGTCCAGTCAAAAGCACGTATTAACTCTATTTATTCATAATTTAGGGTCACATAATGATATTTAATGAGTTAAAGGGTTAGTTCTTAATTGTGAGTTATTGTAACATTATTATTGCTGCTGATCAGTTGTAACCTCCGCTCTTTTGTTTAACATTTTGGCAAACTTTCCTGTTCGAAATGACAGTTAGTGTTTTGCATTATATTATCTCACACTGAGAAAAAGTATTTCTGTGCAAAAATAACCTCCCAAGAAGGCAAGCAAATTACTTTCAAATGCAATTTCAATGTCTTTAAGCTTCAGTTTGGGGTGTTTTTAAAAAAGAAAAACTTTGTTGCCGTTCAAGGACATAAAATTTACATTAAAAACCTATCAAGATAAGGCCAATGAATCGCAGATATCAATGGAACAATCGAAGATTTCAATAGTTATCGGTCTATGCAATTAACTGGAAGGAATTTATATCTGAGAAGTACAAATAATTGATACAAAATTTAAAGTAAAACGATTACAAAATAATTAATTATTAAAATGTCCAGTTGGGATAATCACTACTTGAAAGTTACTGACTTGAGAATAGAAGAAAAATTTCAATCAGACGTGCTCGGCTCTCTGATGGAAAAAAATACTGAAAGAGTGAGTCCATGGAATATCGAC